GACCCTCTCCTCTCTCATGCTGTTTCTCTCTCGCTCGCTCTCAAATAAATAAATAAATAAATAAATAAATAAATAAATAAAAAGAAAATGATATCCCCTTAGGAAGTTTAAGTTTTAGTCAGGGTGAGAAATAAATATCAAATTTGTGGGAACGACTATAAAGGCAAAGGACATGCAGGGAAAAGACAAGATCAAAGTGTGCTGTTGTAAGTCACAGAGGAAGTAATTCATAAAGCCAGCTTTGCCTTGAAGGATGAGTCAAATTTTTATAAGATGACAAAAGTGAAAGCAATATTCAAGACAAAAAAAATAGGTATACAGGCAATAATAAACACTGCGCTTCAGAAGAAGTCTAACCTATTCAGCATTAGTTCAGGCTGAGGAAAGGTGGAAAATAATGTATATGGGAAAGGTGTAGGTATATTATGAAGCTGAAAGCCATATAAGGAAGTCTGGAACTGCCAGTTATTTAAAATGCAAAGGTGGGGAGCTTTATAAGGATGTGTTTTTTTCTGCATTAATTACCTCACTTTTTTATTACCTTAGTATCTGATTCCTCATTAGGTAGTAAGGTTAAAGAGAATGAGCACCACATCTTATTTACTCATCATTACATCCCCTACATCTAACACAGAGCATAACAAGCGCTCAATAAATATTGACAGAGTAAATGAAGTAGAGAAGAGTATAATTATTAATCTGCAGTCATATTAAAGAAGTGCTGCATATCTCATGTCACTACACTAAGAAACCTGGATTAGTTTAATCTCCCTCCTGGGTAGAGAAGAAAATAAGATCGAGGACTTAGGTAGGCAGGTTAGGAAATGGCAGAACATCCTTCTAACACAGGTGGACACAGGGAAGGTAGGAGGCCAATGAGAGCAATAACGTCCTCATCTCTCATAGTAGAGAGTCAATCAACCCTGTCTAAAAGTGAAATATAATGTTCAAACCACTTGAAGTGTTTTACATAATCTTTTTTTTCTTAAACTTAGAGGAATCTCTGGGGAAATACTAACACCTGGAGTGAAAAAACAGTTATTTGAAATTCAGCCATTTCTTCTGTCTCACTAGTTTTTCTTTTCTATAAAATTCAGTTGGAATTTAAAATTTAAATTAAAATGGTATATTTAAATATTATGATTCCATTTTTATAAAATAATCTCCATATATCTATTCTTCTGTATGTACATGCACAGAAAGATGTCCAGAATAATTTTCCTCAATGTTAATGTTACTTTCAGATAGGTGCAGGGCATTAAGAGTATACTTACTTGATGAGCACTAAATACAGAACTGTTGAATCACTGTATCATACACCCGAAACTAATATATAACACGGTATGTTAACTACACTGGAATTAAAAATTTTTTTTTAAAGATTTGATTTATTTATTTGACAGAGAGAGACAGTGATAGAGGGAACACAAGCAGGGGGAGTGTGAGAGGGAGAAGCAGGCTTCCCGCTGAGCAGAGAGCCCGATGCGGGGCTCGATCCCAGGACCCTGGGATCATGACCTGAGCCGAAGGCAGACACTTAACAACTGAGCCACTCAGGTGCCCCTGGAATTAAAATTTTTAAAAATAATGTTACTTTCAGAGTTAGGAAGAATGTCCCTTATGTATTATAATTAGTCTCCTGTGTTGGTTAATTTCTTTATAATAAAGATAAATCACTGTTTGAAAAACAAAGAAAAAAGTTAAGATGACTTTCAAGACTGAGCAACTGAATAGTTGGTTGGGCCACTTAATGAGATGGAAATAGAAGATTGATTTTGTTTTGTTTGTTTTTATGGGAGAAGATCCAAAAGTTCAGTTTTAGACATGTTAAGTTTGTGATGTCCCAGAAAGGTACGAATTGAGATGTCAAGAGAGAGTTGTATATTTGAACCTGGTAACTCCGAATAATGATTTAGGTTAGGGATATAAATTGTGGGGCACCCACGGACATACAGGATAGTTAAAAGTAAAGGTGTAAGTGGATGAACTTGGGGTAGAACAAAGAGGAAAAAGTGCAACTGGGACAAAGTCCTTAGTATTCCAAATTCTAAAAATTGCTTAGAAAATGAAAAGAGAAAAAATAGCAGCTGTGGAAGTGTCACAGAAGCAAAGAGAACTTTCACACAGAAAGAAATGGTCCACTCCATCAAATGCTGATAGTTATAATAAGAAGAGAATTAAAAAGAGAAGAATCTATTACATTCATCAGCACAGAAGCTACAAGCGACTTGAACAGGATGTGCAATTCTGACAGAGTTAATAGAGTCAATGTTAAATCTAAGTGTGTTGAGAAGTAAAGAGAGGTGAGCAAGTAGGGAGAGTTTGTACAGATTACTTGCTATGGTGAGAGGAAGAGAAACAGGACAGTGACTTCAGAGACAGGAGGTCAAGAGAAATTTCTTTTTGAGTGTGTTTCATTGTAAGATGAAACATGTGAGGGCATGTCTGCACCCAGATACCAAAATTAGAAAAGGATAGGCTAGAAGTGGAAACAAAGAGGATAGGAGGGCTAATCAAAGGAGCAACCTTCTCATATATTAGTCATTTACAAGATTTCTAGGATCTGAACAAATAAAAATTCAGAAATTTACAGAGAATGTGATTCTATTAAAAAGTGAAAATCCATGGGGCGCCTGGGTGGCTCAGTCGGTTAAGCCTCTGCCTTCGGCTCAAGTCATGATCCCGGAGTCCTGGGATCGAGTCCCGGATTGAGCCCAGCATCAGGCTCCCTGCTTAGTGGGAAGCCTGCCTCTCCCTCTCCCACTCCCCCTGCTTGTGTTCCCTCTCTCGCTGTCTCTCTCCTTGTCAAATAAACAAAACCTTTAAAAAAAAAAAAAAAGTGAAAATCCACATTTCACTAAGCCCTGAATTAGCCTCATCTAAGTGCTGTGGCAAACCTATAGAAACTGTATTAAATTTACCCTTATTCAGAGGGGGAAAAAGTGAATGGAACAAGCAGTGCTAAGTATAGAAGGCAAATACACTCATGAGATGATCTACTGAAGGGAACAGTATAATAAAGGTACAATTAGAAACAAAACCAATGTAGAAAGTAAAGAAAATGATGTAGGTAAGCATCCAAAACACAGAGAACCACAAGATTTATAGAATACAAAGCTACGATATAAATTATCACTATTGGGCCCCAAAGATCAACACTAGACTGAAATTATTAGAAGAAAGTAAAGTAAGTATCTAACCTCAAATGTATGACTTAAAAATATAACTGAATATTATGAACATAAACTTTGAAATACAATGAAATAAACATATCGTCAAAGAAAAACTTGTTAAAAAAGCACAAAAAATAAAATGCAAACTTTTCCTCAGAAAATGATTTGGTCTTTTTCTTTCTCTTATTGCTGATGCTGTAAACATAGCAAATTACTTGGCAGCATGTAGAAGACTACTGGGGTACTGAAAGAATGAAGATAAAATTTACTTCCTAGTCAAACACAAAAATCATATAAAGCAAGCAGATATAAACACTTGAAGTACTACTGCTACTACATTTATTATGAATATTTTTATAGTGCTTGCTACATGCCAGGCACTGTTAAGTCATTTTAACTTTTCTTATGCAATTCTCGGAATAGTTCTATGAGGAAAATAATATAATTTTCCTCTGTCTTACAGATGGTACCTGAGATCCCAACTCACACAGCTAGTAAGAGCAAGCAGTCTTGACTCGAGAGTCCATGTTGCTAATCTAACCACCATACCACCATACTACACAACTCTATTACATGTATCATTCATACATATTACATGTATGCATTCCATTTGAAAAAAGCACATGCTATGCAAATTATTTTATTCCCTGGGGCATTTTACTTCTTGGATGGCTTTTTACATGAATTAAAATCCTATTATTATTTTTTTAACAAGAATACTAGGGAAAAATACTACTATTCTTTATATAAAGAAAAAGACATTCACTCACTGTATCAGTAAAAAGAGGCTAGAATCTATATTCTATAACTACAAAACTCAGAAATATACTTGCTATGCAGAGGCAAGTTCTACTGAATAGATTTTTCCCAGTATTCTTCATCATTGCTTGCTGTATGAGGTACCTAATGCTATACATGAGAAGTTAAAATGTAATGTGAAAATACATTTTGAGATAAAGGACACACCACTCAAAGAACTATAATAGCTACAATTTTTCTACCTTCTTTGAACTAAAAGTCCAAAAATGAAACTCAGCTATTAATGGTAAAAAAAGTTTGAGTATAAGATCTACAATATATACTACCATCAGAGATTCTAATTTTAGAAAAGTGATTGCTTTATTTCTTAGGTAGAGCATTCTCACTGACCCCCTCCCTGTTGGCTGAAAAAGTTACTTTGCTAGTAGAAAGGGGAAAAAAAAAGAATCACAAACCTATTCAGCTGTTTTTAAAAGTGGTAATTTATAGGTAGGAAAACAAATTATAGGTCTATATATGACCAAAAAGGTTTAAACCTTGGGAAAACTGAGATTAAGGAGTAATGGTTAACATCGAGGAGCAAAATCTGAGCCTCAAGATAAATCATGCTTTTTCAGGCCTCTTTCAAGTCTCTATTATGGAAGGAGTCCCATCAAATACCAACCCAGGGAAACCCCAGTTGACTCCCAAGTAAACTGAAGAGTATGCAAAATGCCTCTTTTTAAAGAGGCATTTGTAATGTAAATCAAACAAAAGTGGAAGACATTGTACTAATACAGAACCTAAATGTAGACAAAAGCCATTATATAAAAACCTAATAGCTATATTTATTTTGTCTAAAGTTACAACTTACCTTTAAACATGCTTTAAAAATTTGCTCATTTTCAATACTTTTTGAAAGTATATAGAACATATGCTTAATTGTTTCTGCAAGATAGAAAATGTACCTCAGGTAAAATTTAGCACCTTACCTTAGACCAAAGATGTGTGATTGTTCATAGTTGAATAAAGAACGAATCTTAGCTTCTGAATTCAAAATTGTAAGTCTATCTATAATATCCTGAAAAAGAAAGAGTTGGAATGAGACCATTTAAAGAAAAATCAACTCAACAAAGATTTATTTAGATTTATGGTTCTCAAACTTGGCTTTACATTTGATCATCTAGAGAGAGGTTAAAAAAAAAAAAAAGAGATGCCCAAGTCTCACCCTTAGAGATTCTGAATTAATTGGTCTAGGTGTGTCTGGGTATTAAGATTTGTCAAAGTTCCTGAAATGAGTCATCTCATGTTTAGCCAAAGTGGAGAATCACTAATTTCTACCCCATTCTGGTACTGCATGAGCAACTTATCTACAAATGTAAAGCATGAACAGTGGATTTAAATAGTTTTATCTAGTAGCTGAGATTTTGTTGATAGTCTCTGCTCATGTAAATCAGTGGTTTCCAACCCTGGTTGAAAATTGGAATTACCTAGAGCTTTAAAAAAAATTATATATACATATAAATATATGAATAATGCCCAGGCTCTACCTCAGACCAATTAAGTCACTATCCTTGGGGGTCAGATTCTGACATTAATACCCTTTTAAAAGACTTCCAAGCTGTTGCAATGTGTAGCCAGGCTTAAAAGTCATGATGCAAGTGTAGAGAGAACCTGATGACCCAGGTGCCACCAGCCATCCCAAGCCCTGACCATGTAAGCCAACTATGCAATTTTGAGCACTCTCTAAAAGTATTTTTTTATAATGCCCTGCTTTGTGTATTTCTTTGGGTTTAGGCCTAAGAAATTTATTCACAGATGAATACTTGTCTCTCTCACTGTTCATTTTCCTAACCAAGAAACTTGCTACCCTCCAGTGAGTTCAAATTGAAGACTTCTGTGACCTATGATAGGTCAAAATGAAGGTTTTGCTAGGGAGTAAAGTCATGTAATATTTACAGAGGTCTATGTGGATGATAGTACAAATGTCATATGATCAAATAAATAAGAAGCATGGAAATGACTTTGCAAGGTTGAGGAAATAATGAATCTTTTAAAATTTGAAAAACACAAATCGAAACATAGTAAAAACTGGATTTTGTGTCAACTTGTATAGTAAAAGTTTATACCTAACACCTAGGAATGCATTTATTATCATTCTACAGATATCTTGTAAAAATGTGTAAGTACTAACACAAAAGTTTATAATCAGCAAATATTAAATAAACTGCCTAACATGAAGAATAAAACGATTGCTATCTTAAAATCTGTCATTTTGTCTGCTTCTTAGCTGGGCACTCCTTGTTGCAAACATTATGATAGAACATGAACTAAGTAATTCATTCTATTGCCAGCTTCACATTCAGATTCTCAATAATTTACCCACTCTCTTCTTTTTCCTAATTTCTCCTCTGACAGTCCTGATTAAAAACAGTGACAGAGCCGTGGAGCTCTGCTTGACTTGTCCAGCACGTGGATACTATTCAGTAGTCTTTGCAGTACATATATGGAGAAACTTGTTTGCCAAGTGTTGCTTCAAAGAGGTATTTTTACTGCTTAAAATAATTTAAGAAATGATCACTGTTTTATCATAATCTTCACAGATTCATCTAGAATTATGTATCACTGGCCTTCTCTTATCTGAGAGAAGAGAATCTGCCAATCAGTTCTATGCATAGTAGCTTCTGGAAGGATTACTACAGATTTCTCTTCATTAGTAGGATACTAGTATAGTTGACTGAAATTTGTCCATCTATCTGAATACTAAGCTCAGACCTTGACAGCCAGTGACACTTTGGGACTCTATAAAGTTCTAGTTCCATACCTAAGTCCTGGATATATTAAGAATAAAAGAGAGAATGTATTACCAGCAAGCTAATGGAAGAGTAGATTGCAGTGATCTATCAATGATAATGCATTTTCAGAGAACAAATGTTACGGTAAATAATTTGTTCTTTAAAGAGGATTACACTGATGGATCACCACGTAGGGAAGAAAACGAAACTCCTGGGAAGCCTGCCTTACAGAGAACTTCAGTTTCTAAGCACTGCAACATGTGTCAATAAGGCAATCACTTTTCTAAATGAAGCAGCATCTTCCTTACAATGAGCTAGTGGCAAGTAAGGGACTCAAACAAACAAAAACAAAAACAAGTCTGAAATTCTTTCAAAGGATACTGTCCAGCTGGAAAATACATTCAATGATCTAGTAGGCCAGAATGAGACCAAAACTCGGAAAACAAAGGAATATCCATTCACATAAATACATACATGCCTGAGGGCCTGCTGTGAAAGGAGAGGGAGAGATCAGTTATAATGCCAATACTCCTGCACCTGCACCACTAGGAGTGGCTTGTGACTGGTTAGCCCATGAGCATCCCCAAACAAAAGTCAACCTTCAACGTTCTTCCTTGGGATTTTTCAAGCGGGAGGGGTCTTAATCCATTCTGGCTGCTGTAACAAGAGTACCATAGACTGGGGTGACTTATAAACAACAGAAATTCTATTTCTTACAGTTCTGAATATTGAGAAGTCCAAAATCAAGGCACCAGAAGATTTTGTGTCTGGCAAGGACCCACTTTCTAGTTTATAGATAGTCATCTTTTCACTATGCCTTCACATGACAGAAGGGGTCAGGGATTTCTCTAGAGTCTATTTTTTTTTCAATCAGCCATAATTGCAGCACCTCGGATAAACCTCATTGGCTATGATACTGCCACTGTGCAAAACCGGAGTCTTTTTTTTTTTTTTTTTAAAGATACTACTCACTCCCTGAAGGCCCACCTCCAAATATCACATTGGGGATTAGGTTTCAACATATGAATTTGGGGGGTACACGTTCAGTCTACAGGAGGGAAGTAGAGGGAAAGGCCACTGTCCTATTTGGTGGCATAGTGAGTTAAATTGTGACCCCCCAACAAAAGATATGTCCACATTCTAATCTCCAGAACCTATGATTGTTACCCTATTTGGAAAAAGAGTGTTTGAAGAGGTAATTAAGAATTCTGAGATAAGATCATTCTGGATTAACCCAAATAGGCCCTAAGACTGTGACAAGTGTCCTTAGAAGAGAAAGACAAGGGGAGATTTAAGACAGATGAGGGAGAGAGCCTTGTGAAGATGGAGGGCAGAAACTGGAGTTATGTAGCAACAAGACATGAAATGCCTGGAACAACCAGAAGCTGGAGGAGGCAAGGAAGAATTCTCCCCTGGAGTCTTTGGACGGAATGTGGCCCTATTAACACCTTTATTTTATTTTATTTATTTATTTTTTAATTTATTTGTTTGACAGAGAGAGAGACAGCAAGAGAGGGAACACAAGCAGGGGGAGTGGGAGGGGGGGAAGCAGGCTTCCTGCCGAGCAGGGAGCCTGATGCGGGGCTCGATCCCAGGACCCCGGGATCATGACCTGAGCCAAAGGCAGACGCTTAACGACTGAGCCACCCAGGCGCCCCAACACCTTGATTTTAGACATCTGTCCTCCAGAACTGTAAGAGAATAAATTTCTGTTGTTGTCAGCTACCCAGTTTGTGGTCATTTGTTATGGTAGCCATAGGAAACAAAGACAAGGGGAAATGGTGAAGATGTCAGTATAGAGTAACAGGTAGTCCTACGTACTCTCCTATAGAGAACACCATCTCAAGAAGAAAACACTAATGATAATTATACCAGACAATTCTATAGCATTTATTACCTGCCAAGCAGTGACTTAAACTTTTATATTTCACTTAATTCTCACAACAACCCTGGGATAGGAACGTTATTGCTCTCTTTTAACAGAAAATTAAAGTTTACCTTTTCTGAGGTCATATAGTTTGTAAAAGGCAGAACTGAGAATCTAATCCAGGCAGTCTGGCTTCAGAATACAAACTCTTAACCACTACACTATGTATAGCTTTCAATAAAGCCAAGATAGAGAGTAGTAACAGGACAAGATGACACAGAGAGACGGACAGATATGAGCCTGACTACATTTGAAGTTCTATTTCTACTTGTCCTTGTTTTTTGTTTTGTTCTTTGCTCTTGTGGCATAACGAAGTCCACAAATATTTTATTTAGCATATACTGCACATCTACTGTGTGCCAGGCATTATGCTAAATACTGCAAACATATTCTCAGGGTTGACAAAGAGCTTAAAGATTATGTACTACAACCATCCAATAGGTTCTTGGATATGATCTACAGTATCTCCACCAAAAAGAACTCAGGATAAGGAACTCACAGAATCCTAAGGCAGCCTATCCCACTTTTAGTCAGCTCTGACAATTAGCAAGTTCACCCTTAGGTTAAATAATTGTTTATACTCCTTGGTTATGCAAAGAGAACTATAATCAGCTATCACCTCTTGTTAAGAACATGGAATACTCCTGTCACTGGTATTGGCATCCAAGTTTCTCAGTTATCTCCCACACCGTTACTCCACACAAGCTGCAGATGTTTATTAGAGCCAACAAATTTTTTTTTAAGATTTTATTTATTTATTTTAATTTTATTTTACTTTATTATGTTATGTTAGTCACCATACAGTACATCATTAGTTTTTGATGTGGTGTTCCATGATTCATTGTTTTCGTATAAAAACCCAGTGCTCCAAGCAGTACGTGCCCTCCTTATTACCCATCACCAAGCTAACCCATCCCACCCCCCCGAAACCCTCAGTTTGTTTCTTGGAGCCCACAGTCTCTCATGGTCATCTCCCCCTCAGATTTCCCCTCCTTCATTTTCCCTTTCTCCTAATGTCCTCCATACTATTCCTTACATCCCACAAATAGGTGAAACCATATGATAATTGACTTTCTCTGCTTGACTTATTTCACTTAGCATAATCTCCTCCAGTCCCATCCACGTTGATGTAAAAGTTGGGTATTCATCCTTTCTGATGGCTGAGTAATATTCCATTGTATATATGGACCACGTCTTCTTTATCCATTCATCTGTTGAAGGGCATCTCGGCTCTTTTCACAGTTTGGCTATTGGGGCCACTGCTGCTATGAACATTGGGGTGCATATGGCCCTTCTTTTCACTACATCTGTGTCTTTGGGGTAAATACTCAGGAGTGCAATTGCTGGGTCATAGGGTAG